CTGGTAGTCAAGTTATGCAGCCAACGGCCCGCGTTCAAACAAATGCGAAAGTGAGGATACCTACCCTGTCTTATTCTAAGATAGACAGGGAGGTATCTCCGCATTCGGTGACATATTTGGGAACGGGTGTTAGCATCCGCGTGATCCAGATGTCAGAGGAAGTCGGCAGAATCTTAGGAAACAGCGGAGCTGCTCGTCACTGAGGTGAGGGACACACTGTGTTCAAGCCAGTTGTGAACAAGGGGGTCAGTGAGATATAGTGTCTCACATGAAATAATATCCGTGTTTACTATCTGCAGTACAACAAACTGAGCACCTAGCTCTGTTCTCTTTTCCTATGCCCTCAACAGGGAGGCTGACTAGACAGCCTTACAGGTGATAAATGCGGAGCAATAATCAAAAATATAAATAATGCTGCTCTAAATCTTATACCCGATGCCTATCATTGTCGCAGTATATGTTACCAATCCTAATATAATTTTAACAGCTGCGATTTACTAACTCCAGTAGTCAATAAATGCTTCACAGACCGCTTCTGAAGCCTCGAGCTCCTCTACTGTCGTGGCATCGCGGCACCAATACAAAGAGTGCACATGTAAGCAACCGCGACTTTTTTGTGCATAAGTTCCGCAAAATAAGGGGATGAGATATATGAGTTCAATAGGCAGACTTGGTAGACCTTCCATGATTGGCCCGGCAATCATGATACTTCGCCCGCCCCGGCGCAAGTTGTCCATAGAGCGCACTTCGGTCCTCTGGTGATTTATGCTTGTGCTGTTAGAAGCTGGCCAGACCTATGTACATGGGTATTTGGTATTAGTAGTACCTGTCAGCCACGCACAGTGCGCTTTTTCTGGCGGGCGGGACGAGCCTCCAGCTTCTATCTCCATCTGTTTCCCAAATTGACGTTTGTGTGAAGACGAAAAAACAAAGTTCCTGTTGGAACAACCACGGCATGATTTCCCTAAGCCCATCCATGGATGTGGGAATAGTGGACCTCCTGTGTATCTTTTCTTTAGCTTCTGTGAGTTACTTTGTCACGGACGTGTTGTTTTATACGAGATCCCAAGTTAATCTTCCAAGTAAACAGACTGTTTCCACCCGGCAATCTCCGAGCTTTGCGATCTTCACTTTGATCTATTCTTTCCTGCATGAAAATTTCTTAAACGCGACTTGTGGATCATAACTGGTAGGTGTAACCGCTGCAGCTATAATCTAACTATAGGAATCAAATCCAATACCTGGCGCACATACGAATTTGGAGGTGCAAACTTGAATTTTGCCGTAGGTCTAGACCAATTTTCCTAGGGGTGCATTTGTGAACAGATAAGTAAAGGAGACCGAACCCCGGACCATTTGTTGCCCGTCCAAGGACTTGGATGGACATATGGATCCGTAGGGCTTGGTCTATTCGGCCCGCCAACGAACTTAGCTGGGTTTCTGATGATGACGGAGTCATCCCTACGGGTATGAGCGGGTTGTTGAGATACCACTTGATGCTTCCAAGTTAGTCTCACCGATATGGGGTGCTGGTTTGGCCGAAGACAAGGATAAGGACAAGATCCTCCCTTCCATATCATCGGCCCAGATGCTTGTAGCTTCTGAATGTTTAGTTTCTCCTTTCATGAGATGAGTTAAATATGCCTCGAACATCCACTCTATATCTAGCTTCATAGTCCTCAAGCACCAAACACTTTTGTGTGTTACCTTGCAGGTCTCGTGTGGCCTTTGAAGTTTCAACAAAGAAACAGAAGAAGGGACTTTTTTTTGGGGGGGGGGGTTCCATAATCTTCCTGCTTTTGCCAAACATATAATCCATGTCCCCTGATATTTGCTTCAGTACGTCTTTAAAGATAATATTTTAAAAAGGGGACGTTTTGGACATTCTAAAGGTAGCGCTGTGATGGTCAAATGGCACCTGGCTCTGTTTTGGTCGTTGTATTTCGGCCCATCACACCTACAGCGCCTGGTAACACCAAAAATAATAGGATGCGTTGTCTGGGTATTTCGAAACAATGGCAAGAGGCACAGTTAATCCTTTTAACTTTATGACAGATCCCCTCTGTATTGTTGCCCTTTACATGCGAGAACTTTTAGAGACCTGCATATTTCGAGGAATACTGTATATGGAATGAGCGTTTAAATACATATTGTATGTGCTCCCGTATCGTACTCCACGTGTCGGCGGGTTTCCAAAGGATTGGCTACTTCTAGGCAATCACAGTAAAGAATTAGAACCTACTGGCTCCCTGCAGTTTGAAAATAAGCGTCGGGGGTCTTGGCTGGTTATGGTGTCTAGTCCCAAGCTGTAATAAGACTGTAATACCTATTCCTAATATTAAGCAATTGGTCCAGTCGCGAGTAAAAAGACCAAATCCATTGAGGCTATAGACGGGTACAATGTTACTATTTAGCCCTAAGCCCCACAAAGTAATCCATGGGATTCATCTATTGCCATCGGCAACACCCGCGGCTACTAATAAAAGCTATTAATTTATTGCGTCGTAGCAAAGACCATAATAATAAAATAGAATCCAAGGTACATATGTATCTAGACCATTAAAGCTTTTTTGGGACAGTAACCTTTGAGGTTGCAGGAACCACCCCGGGGTCAGCGTCAAATGTAGACGTTTCACGGATCTCAGTCCCCCCAGCCTGAGTATAGACAGGTGGGCTTAGTTGTTTTTCATCCCCGAGCAAGAGGACACGGGATACATAAATAAGCTTTGTTAGGACATAAAATAACTCTGGATCCTGAAAAAAGCTAGCCTTGTTAAAGATAAGCGCATTTGGGGAGAATCCTCTCTTTTTTATCTTAATGATATTTAGAGGAGTTGTAATAATAATCTTAATGCTCTGTATTAACATGAGTAGCAGACTATCCTGATGCTTTTAATAGTTATGGTAATTAGCCTTTTAGCTAATGACCCCGCTCGCAAACACCTCCTTAACACTGCTAATAATCACCCCGTGTCCCTTCTCCTGCTTGGCAAGTTTGGATAGTCTACTAGTGGAGTTGTATGTTTACTTTTTATTGCTTCTTCCTTGCTTTTCCTTCTGGCCTTCTTGCCTAACACTTTCTAGACAAGCTGTTGATGCAAAGGGCACTTTCCATAAGTAAGTGGGAGCGCCTGCGGGTTTTTGAGAGAGCCGTTGGATTGGGGAATTGCGCCAATATCTTCACAAGATAAAGACAAACATGAGAACCTTTGTTTTACATTGCTTTTAACTATGTTGGGGAACACATGCTTTAATATTGACTTAAAGTCGTACTCACTAATATAACAGGCCTTTTTTTAGTACAAGAATTATAATTGGCAAAGTCAGCGCTGTACTAGATTATGGTATCAGGGTGTATCACACACCCGAACCTTTGATCTAACATGGAAAAATAAAAAGTCCCTAGACACAAGGTGGTGCGTGATCACCTTTGCAGGCAGAGCCTCCTTTATTACAAATAAATGGAACCGGATTAAGATAATACCATACCAACATCGGTTTGAATTTTTTCAATAACCGCGCTAATCTTGGAGGTTAGGCTGTCTACACACCCATAAAGGCTAGTGTCAATGCTATTATATCCTACCATATGCTCTAATAATATTCAACTCTTAAATAACAAGACCACGGAACTTGCTCTATCAGCGTGCGTTTCCCTCTCCACTTTTATAGTTGCTTCCGTCAAGGGCCCTCCTAGGCTGCAGCCTGTTGATTTAGGCTTGACAAACCAAAAGAGAAGAAGTATCCCTTTCTTGACACAGACACTTCGGTATAATCAAGCATCTAACACCAGTTATTATCGGTCCTGCAGCTCAAGGGCATCCCAGTCTCCACCATTGCTTCTAGTTGAACTGTTCTGTGACCCAGGCTACCATGGCCTTGTAGTTATTCATATTAAGGCTCTTGGGTATGGGTGCTGAAGGTGTTCGAGACTTGGTAGGGGTTGTGGGATCAGAGAGATGGCCATAGCAGTCTTTGTACAACCAGCCTAGCCTAACTATGCGTCGCGAATAGTCCGCATTCATGAACCAGGAACTTCCCATGGGCGAACTAAGTTAAGCGGAACATGAAATGCTAACAGCAAGTAAGACAGACTAGAAATGTGTGGTATGTTGTGGTCCCGCATAATGTATGCTGGGAGAAAACAATCCTCTCAATCACTAATCACTTATCAGTGCCATTGAACAGTCATCAAAACAACAGAATTTCTCGTCATAGTATATGATGATATCTCCAGTCTTCTGGTCCTCTTAGTGTCCAAGGAGTTAGCAATTAGCGTATTGGGTAATCCTGGCGTGGAGCATAATTAGAGCTTTGGCAGGGTATTTAGGGTTAGTTAAAAGGGCTAAAAGCCAAGTCCTGGCTAGAGCGAAATACTCCGAGGGGCTTGTCCCCTTGGAGTTTGAGGACGGCAAGGAAGAGGCGGATGGAAGTGCAAGACTTTATTAGATCTGTATTATATATTTAAGCATACTTGGCCTCCTTTAATGCTCGCCCAGCTCCTTTTTAGTTATCGCTACCTTTTGCATGTGAATGGTAACGAGCTCTTGCGGCTGCAGCGCCGTTGCCACACCCTAACTAAAGAATGCGAGTGAGAGCGGATTTCAGGATAGTCATTTGTTGTTTGGCTCCTTGACTTTTGATAGACTAAATCCACGAAATGCGAATTTCCTTCTTCCCGAGTGAGCGCCGATCGGGGTCTCCATATGGGAGCCTAAGTGGAGGTAGCTAGGGACTTTCTTCGACTTCTAGGTGCCCAACGCCGTCGAGAAGCCAGGTTCGGGGAGTTGGCAAACTGTCCTACCAACAATTCGGGACTTTGGTTGAGGACAATACCTCGGATTCTCGACTTGGAAGAATCCACAAAGGCGTATAAACTGCGCACGTCACAATTTTTTGACCAGTTGACGGGCCCGTGGACTACCTAAATTGGACGTTGAAGGATCCCATGTTTCACTAAATTTACCACGTTACTAGTGACTTAAACCTCAATATGCATATCACCCAGTCGGGGTACATTCTTTGCTTGCCTGGATGCTTGTGACCGTAGAGTCGGCGAGCTCTAGGTCGCCGTCCGCATCCGCCCCGGACCCCTTCTTCGCCTGGGCTTTTCTGTCGCGTTTCCGCTTCTTCGCGCCGGCTTTTCTGGCTTGTGCGTGGGCTGTCTTGGCGTCTTCCGTGGCATCGCAGCTAAAGGTATGGGTAGTGGGTACCACCACAGTAGTGGCAGGGTTTGGAGGGGGGTACCCCCTCCGCCGCTAGTTTCTAAAGCTCCGCCAACCGTTCCGCCCTTTAAACTTTGCCTGCCTCCTTCTTCTCCTTTTTGCGCGCGTCCTAAGGGTTGTCCATCCGTCTCTCAGCATCCAAGGCATCGGCTTCCCAGGAGCCCTCGCCCGCCAGGTCCGGCCTATCGGAGTTCTGTACAGATCTTTTCGCTCGCCGCGGAGAAATTCCTTCGTCTTCCGAGTCTTGCACCGTACTGGCCACCATGCAGCCCAGTGCGTGCCAGGTAAAATTTTGGTGCAGTTGTTTTCGTCCTCCGTGTCCAAGGACAGCGACCCCTGAATGGCGTTCACAACGACACCGGGAACTCCGAAACCTCCGACAGACGGGGTTCCCGACGGAGCAGCCGAATGCTTGTACATCTCTGCATCGATTATTCTTGGGGCTCTGCGGCTAGTTTGAGCGTAGGGAAAGTGAGGGATGGTGAAGGACGAAGTGGAAGAAACCTGCTGACCCCAAACCTCAGCTAACCTTGGTCCTAACGACTCTCAATGGAAGATAGCGTGATAAATCGGAAGGTAGGAACTTCCTTAGGTAGTACAGCAAGGACTAGGAGTAGAACCAGGTATCTGGTACAAAAGTGTACCTGAGAGTAGACCAAATGGTAGAAGAAGATGTGTCTGCGGTGAAAAAGCCAGTGGCTTGACATCCCATAGACCACAACGGGAGTTCATCTCGAGGATTAATCTCAAGCAAAACATGAACAGCATGCCGCTTGAACCTTGGACAGCTAAACATTCGCATGACAGAAACACCTGGGCTCGCTGTCGCGGCTCTTTCAAGGATAGGCTCACCACCTAGAGCAATGTATGAAGTCATAATGGTGGTTAGGGTACATCTCAAGGATCCAATGCAGGTGAGATATTATCTTCACCTTTCCCTGTCCTCGCCACTTGGTGCGCGGTAAATTCTGCTTATCTGCGTCATCGCACACGTTAACATGCGTATCTATATTCCTTGCAAAGCAAGGCTGTTGGACCTGTTCAGGATTATCCAATTAGTGGCCTGACCGGTGTAGTAAGGGTCCCGCAGCACCTGGAGTAACAACCTGAGCGCTCACTAGCAACAACGCCTTTGTAGCTCTCTCTCCATCTTTCGCCATTCTGACTGTCCGTGACTTCAAAGCGCTGGAGCTGGTGGTTTAGATAACAATAAACCACGGTGTAATGTGGCATTAGGGGACATGGGGGGCGTTAAGGGAAAGGTTATGGAACAGGGGGCACAACTTGATATGGGCCTGGCTTTATAGAGGCATACCTATGCTACCTAAGTCTATATGCTGTATAATTAATGATATTAGGGCTTTATGAACAGCAGCCCTACTGCGAAAAGACAAAAGGGGTGGAATCAAAATTCAGGATTAAGATATGTGAATTAATTAAGCAGAGGCAGTTCCATAAAAATTATCTTCCGTGCAGTGGTTAAGTGTTGCTGTGTGTAGAGGAGAAAGAATAACAAGACTTAACTTTTGCCATCATGACAGGTGTAGGAGTTAATACATAGTAATCAAACTCCGACCAAGCAATGGCAAAGTTTATAACATTATCAACTGCACAACCAGTACCCACAGCAAACTAGGCCCGTCCTTTCTCCGGTACTTAGCGAAACTGAAGCCAATCAGCCTCTTGTTGCATGAAAAAAAAAGGTATATTGTCGTGATTGAATAGGAGTTTGGTTGTATAGCCAACTCACAAGGCAGAAGGTTTCCTTCACAAGTCCACGGAGCTCACCCAGGGTGCAGTTTGAACATTGCACAGTCCTTTAATATGTCGCGGAGGGTGTCTTTGGTTCCCTCATCATTTATTCTCCTACTAAAGAAGACACATTCTCTTCGGGGGACATGGGTAGTGTCGCTAGCCATGGGATATCCTGCGTTACAGCGTGTCGAATCATGGTCTCAATGCGCTGGATCGTCTTCCCGGACGCTCTATCAGTCTGCCCAGTGGCGCGCTTCTGTGTCTTAATGCCACATGGTTCCGGGGGCTATTTGGGCAAACAGATCTCTTCAGAATGACGAAACCCCACAGTTTGAGCCCACGATCAGAAAGGCTTTATAGCGGTGGTTTTCGGGTGCCTTGCCCAGGATTTCCTAAGTTACCTAGGTAGCAGAACCATAAGGGCTCTATGTAGGTAACCACGCCCAGCCTCACTGTTCCGCCCCATCTTATAAAACCGCACGCACAGGCCCATGGCCGCAATTCCATATGTGTCTTGGACCGCATCATCAGCATCTCTTGTATGGTATATTGCTTCAGCTGGGCGGTGATATCTACCCAGTCCCTCTCGAGAAAATCTGCATTCAACATGATAAGTGTTGTGCTTATCAACCGTTGCATTTTCGAGCATGATTCTGCTGGTATTTCAAAAGGTATATTTTCCGTCTACCAATGGCCCCGGCAGTCGAGTTAACAGTGAGTTCCAACCTTCCATGGTCACAATGCCATGTCTTAATGGTCGCCTGGAATAATATATTACTCCCTTGACAGTGTACATGAGTCAACTCGATGCCAATGCTACCTATATCATAGCCAAGTATTTCTGCATTGTTCCTTAAGTCGTGGTAAGGTTTACAATGTAGAGTGCCCAGGTGGGACCCGGTGACAGGGAGAAGTTAGTAGAAATCCCCGACTAAGTATTTACTAAGTAAAGGGTTCATAACATGGCGAGCCGAGCCCCAGCCATAGTTTCTGTCAATATCTCGATCGAATAGAATATTATGATCAGCGGCCAGATGTGCAACCGAATGATGGACCTGGGCTCGGTCCTGCAATTCTCTTAGGGCTCTGACCCTCGCGACTCAACATGATCTTCCGTGTGAGCTTTAGTACATCTATAGCCAAAGCTTCGCCAGCGCGGGCGTTAGGGCTTCTCCCTACCTAATTCTTTGCAACCCCTGTTAAACTATGGATAGCTCTTCGCTTCAGTAGAACTGCCGTAAACCACGAACTAAACCACAAAGATTTTGTGATCAAAAAACACGCAACTATCCTTGTTTCCATGCATTTCTGGACAGTCAACTTCCACTCCCTGCTCCTTGATATATCAATATAGGCATTGATGTCTTGGTCCTCCTCTAGTATGCATTTTTGGGTGTCATTTTCGAACCACCTGTCGATACTGCGGTTAAGACAGGATAGGGAGGCACCTATCACAAACTCTTGTACGATTGTTGGGTGGTGTTCTTTAGGTTATAAATGTTAAGTTTCTTTAGAAATGTCTGCTGGCTTTGTGCCCATCCTGGGCCGTCCACTTCCACATCGCGTCATTGTCCGCGAATCTGAACAGGTTGAGAGTGGTTTTTATACTTTACATCCATGCTCTTAGTGTCAAAAACATTCCTATATGACAAGTATTCTCTGCGTCGTAATTCTTGCCATAGCTCAGTGGGTGGCTGACGCAGCCGTGACAGCAGCATGTCAAAGATACACAAAATCCCATGCCATGGCGACATTGTTCCCTTGCGAACCGTCCAGAGGACAGCAATGCCAATGGCACATGTTAGTTGGAAGAGACGCGGAAATAGCTCAAGCTACGTGGCTGACTTACTGGCCACCAAATACAGGAAGGGTCATAAGCTCGGTAAAGTACCAGCCAGAGGCTTTTGCTCCCTCTTGTGTAAGTATTGCCTGTGCCCGCTTGGTATAAATGAATGCAAGCTTTCACTTCCTCGATACCCAACAGTAATTGGGTAAGTTTTGTCCCCAGGCTGCTGTGTGTAACAGCAGTGAAGGCCATGTTTTTGAATTTTGATTTAAAACTGCCTTTTAACGTCTGATGCTAAGGCCCTCGCGGTTCTAGTACCCTGACAGCCGACAGAGTAGGCGCGCGAGCGATACCTTGCATTCATGGCGCTAGGGCCCTAATGTTCAGGTTCTGGCATGGCCCCGCAGGCAAGTGCATACACTCATTTTCCTAGAACCCCGGTTGTTAGGAAGTTGAGCATGCATTGCATGGTCAAAGTAGAAGTAAAATCGAGGTTGGACTTACCTTGCAGAAAGAAAACAAAGTTCGAGAATCTGAACGTGGCACGGCGCAGGACCCCATATTAATCTTCCTGCCATTAGCCGGCTCACCCAGGTCCAGATCAGCATCGTTCTCCTTTTAGCCCATGAGACGGCATGTTCGCGCGAAATTATTCTCAACTTGGGCAGTGGCCCAGCATGCTGTTTCTTGGTTGTGAGGTCGAGAACGCTGCTTCTGACTTTCCTTTGCATAACGCAGATAGCTATGGTGGTCAGGACGTTCCAAGAAACTGTACTAACCCAGTGGGCAGAGTAAATAGGCTAGAAAAGAAACTGCGCTGGATATTTCAGGCGTGACTGAGGGTTGGACGTTCGCACCGTGCCAGGCCAAGAAACACAGGAGCCAGAGGAACACGGCTACAAATAGCAAGCTGGAGGGCGCAGCCATATGGGCATGAGAAATAACGGCCAGAAGCCGCTTAATCAACGCGGGCAACGGAGCGGCCGGGCCCATGGTTACCTTATTCGACAGACAATCGAGTTAGCAATGACCAAAAAGGAAGAATTTGTAGTACTTACCACTAATATCTTGCTCATCTTCCTGCTCATCCTCCTGGTTGTCTTTGGAAAAATAAGCAGGCTGAGCATATGGCTCGCCATGGTATGGGATGTCTTATTTAACAAATAACTAAGTTAGCAATAACCAAAAAGAAAGAATTTGTAGTACTACCTTTGTTATTAAAGGAGAAGATTATTAGATCTTCCTCCTTAGGGAGGGGGGCTGGATTAAACATAAACGGCATTTTAATAAAAAATATAAAATGCAAATATAAAAGGAAGATAAAGAGAAAATAAAAAACAGAAAAGGGAACAGGAAATTACCCTACCATCGTTAGCGAGACCCGTGACCAGCCTACTCTTAGAATTAGTTTACACAAAGCGTCTACAGGTGCTCTTCAGGCTATCGGGGAACACCGGAACAACCCAGCCCCAAGAAAGGGGCAGATCGCCGTGAGAAATGGGAGTAAATTTGAAGAAGACAATATTATCCGGACCTAAGAAGGAGTCCATGTATACTCTGGCCTTGTCTTTCTCCTACTTCTTCTAGTCGAGGAACAGAAAGCCAGAATGTTCCCTCCATTCCAGATGCCACTTCCCACCTTGGGAGGAAACAAAACTCTGTTCGTAGAGTAGAAAGGGTCCGTACCAGGCAGTGGGCATGTTAGGCGTCGGATTTGCTGTATGCCATGCGGACACCAGCCAGCATGAGGGCTGAATCGGACCAGAAGCCCTGATACCACACCGCGAGACTGTACAGATTGACAGCATCCCTGACATTGGGGTGCGGGCCTAGGCCCTGGCCACGAGGGTGGTTCTTGCCGCGAAGCTTTCGATCCGCG